ACTTCACATAAATAAACTAGTTTACGATCCGCTAAGGCTGACTCGTGTTGAGGTACGCGATTTTGTCTTGTGTGTGAATTATGTCTTGTCTCTTGTGTATATTGTTTGAATGTATTGTTCATGTCAAGCGAGCTGTGATAACCCGAACCGGGCTCGAGACAATTCCAGCCTCCTTCTCTTGTTCAGTGACGCTTCCTGCGCTACCCCTCTCTCTGTCAACTTAATTCTATCTAACAGCCACACATATTCTCGAATGTTGCTCCTGCCCGGACAACCTGTAATTCGGTCTAATTCCTAGTGTCCTCTCGTAAAATGTTCGCTAAAATTATCAATTTCACCAAGAATTGCACCTTGAAAACATTACAATTTGGAATGGCAAAGTTGAAGCCCTTCGATACGACAGGTTCAGTAGAAATGTCCAAGGAAGTTATGGATAGATTTATCCATTTTGACATAAGGCCTTCCCTTTCTTTCTCTGTCATAGTAAAATTGATCATTCTAACGAATATTTTTCAAGAGGATACTAGGAATTAGATTGAATTACCGGTTGTCCGGGCAGGAGCAATATTCGAGAATAGGGCATGTAATGCTAGTATAATAAGCCAAAGGGCAATTGACCAATTAGTATTGTGGGCGGACAAAACAGGAGCTGTGGTAGCAATGACTAGGATTGACTATGCAGAAAAATGTTGCAGGCCTCAGACGAGAAAGAAACTTAAAAATCTGTAAGTAGAAAAACTGGTTTCCGAACTTGCCTTTTGTACTGGCTTCTTCAAACGAACTGAAACGTGCGCCAAAATAAAATTCCTTTGATTTGGGTTCTCACCGCGTTAGGATTTTCTGCAACAATTTGTAAAGAGCGGAGAAGTGGAAAGTGGATAATGGACGCACATTTTCAGCGAGATTCTGGACCCCAAACGCAGAAGGAGGTTAGCGTGGTTCCTAAGCACCACTATTTATTTGTACTCAGCTAATGCATATCTCCGAAACTTGACAGTTTTTAATAAGGAATTATTACGACTAAATAAGGTCAGTTGAAGATCGGAGGATAGAAGGTAGAGCTGGCAAGTGTGCTGGTCACTTTAGATATAGTGCCAGTGAAGAATATTATTCCGTTAAACGAGTCAATTAAGGAGTTGGAGTTCTTATAAGGTCTTAGCAGGTTGATATTTGGCAAAGATTCAATAATTCGATAGATCAGTCTGGTCATCAGTAGTAAATATTTAACTTTTGCTAACAAGTTGAATGAGCAAACACATTTTTTCTCTTGTTTTCTTGCTTAACAACTATTTTAGCTAATATATGTATGGCTTAATTACAGGTACATTTCTTTCATGGGCTACTTCCATTTACAATGTTTTCAGCTAGCTATGTTATAGATTACTTTATTGTTTCGAAATATATAGGATAAATTTCTTGGTTTTAATAGAAGAGATGAATTTACCAAATTTATTATTGAGTTACTAAAGGAGTCTTTTCCCGATGTATTAGTGAGCAAATACTTTAATAGGTTTGTAGGATATTTGAATGGGAAACATACACACTTTCAGGATTCCTTATTAAAGTCTAATTTAATCATATATATAAGGCCAAAATAGGAGTTCAAATCAATGATAATAAGGAGTCTGAGTCTAACAGACATTGACAACATGGACCAGGAAATTAGTAGATTGAGGTATATACTGTTTCAAAACTATTACCGAGTATATTAGTGCTGCTGCTGATGATGATGATAGAAATGGTGATGTGAAGGATGATAATGATAAAGATAAAGACAATGACTGTGATGATAATAATAATAAAAATAACAGAAATAATAATGGAGGCGATGATGATGATGAGTATGATAATGGGGTAGGTGGTGGTGATGGTAACGATTATGCTGCTGCTGAGGATGATCAGGATTATGATAATGATAATAAGGAGGGATGTTAGTGTGAAACGAATAGCAGAATAAAAAAGAGCATACAATTAGACCAGAATTCGAGCACGCATATGTTGCTCTCTACGGCATGGGTTTTATCGCGAAACAACCCTTCCCATCAGTCGCATATCTGTCTTGAAGACTGTTCCATGAACAGAATAACTCAAAGAACCCTAAATCAACGGCATTCGCTGCTCAAAATTAGGATGAAATAATAGAATGCGAGTCCTTAATTGACTCGTTTAACGGAATATTACTTTTCACATGCACTACATCTAAAGTGACCAGCACACTAGCCAGCTCCTCCTTCTATCCTATGGTCTTCAACTGACCTTATAGGATGAGAAGAGACGGTTATTTGAGGTGGGATAGACGAATAGATCATTCTACTCTGTTCCTGAATTTGTCTTCTTGTCAGCTTATGATGAATCGGTACATCAGGACATTGTATAAAGGAAGATTAGCCCCTATGCGGAGGAGACCTTCCGACGTATACAGAAGAGTTTATCAAAACACAAAACCGCTTGGAAAGTCCTATAGGTCCCAAAATCGCAACTTCCCTATCAAATGGCTAATACAGCACACTCGAGAGACCGGTTCAAAATATAGATTTCTGCACCCAAAACGCAAAAGGAAGTTAGCGTGGTTACTAAGCACCACTATTTATTTGTGCTCAGCTAATGCATATCTCCAAAACAGTTTTCAATAAGCAATTATTACGACTAAATAAGGTCAGTTGAAGAACAGAGGATAGAAGGAGGGGCTGGCAAGTGTGCTGGTCACTTAAGATGTAGTGCCTGTGAAGAGTAATATTCCGTTAAACGAGTCAATTAAGGATTTAGAGTTCTTCTGAGATCTTAGCAGGTTGATATTTGGCACAGATTCAA